CGCCTGGTGCCTCGGCTGCCTCCTGCCTCCGAGTGGCTTGATTTCAGGCCACACCGGTGCTCAGGGCATTCTAGGCCACCTCCCTCTGCCCTGTGGGAAAGGCTGGACCAGAGCAGGGGTCCCAGCAGGGCTGTACCTCCTCTCTGGGGCTCATCTAGGCAGTTTGCACAGGGGAGACCCAGGAGGAGGTAACCAGTGGGGGGCCCAGCGCAGCTCTGGACACATGACCAGGCTCATCCCCTCTCCAGGCCCATCGCCACCACTCATCCTATGAGAGTTCTGCACTAAGTAGCCTTTGCCCTATCAGACTACCACGATGGAGCTGATCCCTTGCACATAGACGAGGAGGTGGCCATGGGATCCTTTGTAACAGGTTGGGTAAGGAGAAGCCTCAGAACAAGGACCAGGACAATACCCTGGAATGTCACAGAAGGCCCACAGTAGAGGGCAGGAGGCCTCCTTGAAGGACATGGCAAGCACAGAACCGTGACACTTCCTGCTCTCCATAGCTTTTCACAAGCAATTCCTTAGCTCCCTGCAAGTAAATATAAAATACAACTGAAAGTGTTTCCTCTGTGTAGCCTGGTGTCTCCATTGAGGCTAAGCATGGAGCAATTCTGTAACCTTCTCTACCCTCAGCTGGTTCTCACTAAGGTCCTTCAGCAGCCTGCTGATGCCATTTCAACCCCCTTTTCCAGACGGTGGAGAATATGAGCTTCGAGGAAATTGAGGGTCCAGGGTTGTGGTCACCTGCTACATTGTCCTGAGGATTCAAGGCCCCCTAATGGCTACCTTGTCTCTGCAGGCAAATGGAGCAGTGCCCTGGAGGGGAAGCGCATCGTGGAGGAAGACTTCCATGTGGACAAAGACACCACCGTCAGGGTGCCCATGCTCAACCTCCTGGGGATATTTGACCTGCACAGAGACCAGAACTTATCCTGCTGGGTGGTACTGGAGCATATGAAGGGAGGAGCCACCGCCTTCTTCTTCTTGCCAGACCCCGGGAAGCTCCAGCAGCTGGAGGAGACACTCACCTTCCAGCACGTGAATGACATCCTAAAGACCTCCACAGTGAGGTGCTTCCCCAGGCCAGGCGCTGACCCAGAGCTGAGAGGATTCGATCATATCAGGACTGAGACCCCTGAGGACAGCCCAGAGGGCAGGAGAGGGCAACGACATCCCTCAGGTCACAGTTTCATGCAAACCTTAAGGGTCCACAGGGAGGCCAGTGCTCAGTCCCGGCAGTGCTGTCAGGCTCTGGGATACAGTCAGTGCTCAGACGACGGGAGCATAGACACTGTCCATCCGAAGCCCCAGTGCTCAGGCACAAACAGCCACGCCAGCGCCCCTTACACAGAACCAAGAACGAGCAGGGCCGGGGGCCAGCAATGCAGCATGGAGAAGGACCCGATGTCCTGGGAGGTCGGGGTAGAGCCTGCAAGAACAGACCAGGGAAGATGTGCCAGAGATGGGGTCTCCAGGATACCATCTGAGATGAGAACTTGTCTCTACCCTATCCCCAGAGTGGGGTCTGGGCCAGCAGGGAAGGCTCCCCGAGCACACTCCACAGTAGTGTGGACCTGCTCACACGCCAGAGTCCCCGACTGTGCTGAGCCACTGTACAGGATTAGGTCATGGCAATGTGAAACACCTCCAGGGACGAGCTGAAGCCCGGATGAGGACATCTGTGCCTTTGTCCACCCCATCCCTCCCGAGGTCCACACCAGGGCTAGAGAAGAAAATCCAGAGAGCTGTGACCATGGCTGGTCACTGAGCACTGAGTCCAGTCAACTCACCCATGTCGCACCCCCTGGGCCTCGCTGTTCCCCAGGGAAGAGGACAGCTGAGCATCAGCCTGGGGTGCTCACCTCCTGCTATCCCTAAAGGATGCCTTTGAGCACCTGTCACCAAGAACCCCTTTGTCCTGAAGAAGGGACAGGTTGGTAGGGTAGAAACCACTTGGTGCAGAGAGAATGAGACTTGCTCCCATGAGCACACCCTCAATCTGCCTGGAGGCCTTCTCCGAGGAGTTGGCATTGCACAGGCTGCCAGGAGAAGATGACCTGCTCCTGCTAATATGCTCTAGACCAGCTCTAGAGGATGCTGGAATTAGAGGAGCCTAAAGCCAGGAAAAACATCTGGACTTGAGGCAGTGGTGAGGGGTGGGTACACAGCACCAAGGGTAAGACACAGCAGAGTACAATGCACTGGTCCGACCTGACGGGTCTGTGCAGATGGGAGTCTCAGCCTTGCCATGAGCCACATGTTCTTTCTGCCCGACAGGTCAGTCAATCTGCAGTTCCCCAAACTCTCCATTTCTGCAACCTACGATCTGAAGGAAGTCCTGAATGACATGAACATCACGAAGATCTTCAGCAATGGGGCTCACCTCTCGGGAATCACAAAACATGCACCTCTGAAGCTCTCCAAGGTGAGGTTGCCCAGACCTCCTCGTCCCCCGGTGTCACAGAGGGTGCAGTGAAGGGATGAGGCCGAGGGAAGGGCCACGGACAGAAAGGAAGACCCAGACTGCGCCCCTCCACCTGGACTGCGTTGATCCCCGAAGGTGGACGTGGGCAGGAGCCTGGGTGGGAGGTGGCTGCCTGTGCTGGGGTAAGTAGGGACCTGCCCTGAGACTCTCAGTGAGCCTCGATCTCCCCTTTACCCTGGCCTTCTCATCCTCGGGTCATAGTTGGGCCTGTTCCCTGAGAGGGGCTTGGGCTCAGACACCCAGGGCACATTCTGGCCCCACCTCCTGTGTCTTTTGCATTACTGGAAAACCACCGAGTCTGAATTTCACCAGAAAACGCCACTAATTCAGGCCCGTATGCGGGCACCTGAGAATGGGCCTGGCTGCTGTGTGGACTTCCCTGGGAGGGTCACCATCCAATCCTCATCCCGGGGAGCTAAATCAGACCCAAGAAGGAGAGATCCATGGGACGTGGGACGCTGCAGGAGGTCTTCCCTTCTGAGGCTGTGGGGTGTAATGTTAGGGAGGGACGTGAATGCTAGGGTACCCGAGGAGGAGCAGCCGAATTCGGCACAGGCTGGGG